ATGTTTTTAAATTCAGTTCAGTTTAGCTTCATTCATATAAACAGTCGCCTCAAGGCGCTTTATATTGTAACCCTGCAGTAACACTGAGACATCTGAACACGACAAAAAGCACTTGGTCACATTCATAACTATTTAATTCAAGGTTTTTGCGAAGAAAGTGCCATCTTTCAGCGACGCTGTGTGTTTGTAGTGGACAGAAGAGAAGGGCGGGGACTGTAACCTAATAAAGTAACTGGTGAGACCACGGCGGGGTTATTAAGGCTGCATTCGCCGTGGCGCATGATTCAGTACAAACATATTTAAACTGGGAGCCTATTTATTATTTTTGATTTCATCAACTGTTCAAAAACAAATAAGTAACAAATCACTACAAACAATCCTGTTCGACTGCTCCGCTCTCGGCAGGTCCATGCCTGAGGAAGGATTTGCTCAACTCGATGCTGGCCGCATCTTGCCGGGAGGGTCACCTTGATGTGGTTCGTCTGCTGGTCCAGAGCTACGATGCTGACGCCAAGGACTGTGCAATCCATAGCGATGAATTTGCTGTCATCACTGGCCTGCCACTGTATGCTGCTTCACAAGCAAGTAAGGAGATACTCACACACGAGTCTAGAAAGCAATAGAACAAATTCAAAATAGAAAAACAGGTTTTCATCCTGGTAAATGATGATAGTGACGATTTTATTTATATAGCACGTTCCAACTAGGGCTGCGTATCGTCATTCGAATCCGATTCACAAGGTCCCGACTCGATTCTATTTGAATCGAGGAAATTTTCCTCAGACAGTCAGAAATATTATAATTCTGATCACTTATCAATACATATCTATATTTTTGTATCTACAAAAAGAAAGCTGACACTTGTGAGACTTTATCAAAGGTGTGAGCAGCACAGCAGTAACTGAAGATAAAACAGAAAAACATGAAGGAGACTTTCCTGGTCTGGGTTTTTATAGCAGATGACCTTAAAAATATTGTGCAGTAGATCAAAAACGAAGTGAAGCAGAGCAAAGTTACAGAGGTTTGATTACAGACACAGCTGAGCATTTTACAATTGTGCATAATTTTAAAAAGTTTAAGTTTGTTCAGTGTTGAAC